ACATCAAAGTGAAATCTCATGAAGGAAAGCAGTTAGAGCAGCGTCGTACACACAAACTGTAGAAAGTTAGGGCTCTGAGTAAGACTTTAAAAATAAACTGGTGGTTAACGTTGTGAAATGTCGCAGTTTGATTAGCAAAAAGGAAACCGGGTCGACTTTTTGACCGCTCTCCTGGGTGAGTTTCTTTTTGTCCCACCTGTCCTTCTAAAATTGTCATACACGCCATAAAATTACATCAAATCAACACATATCGCGTTAGTGGCTACGCCTGTTAACTTAGAGATTTTCTGTTCCGGTCTGTTTGTTTAATATTAGTTTGCTCTTCGTTTGTAAAATGAGACGCTCTGCTGCCAGTAGACTTGTTCCTGTCGGTGATTGGTCATCTGCTGCTAACGAGTTAACAGGCATCATGTGTGTTGTGCTCACGGGGTAAAACAGCTGCTGCACGCGACATCGTAAACGCACCTTTTTATTTTACTAAATCTTACTACTACCTTCCTTGAACCTTCAAAATAAAAGCATCTCAGTCAGCATTTTCAGTGTATTCTCATTTGTAACATTAAATAATTACCATAACCAGACCTTTTATGAGGCGTCACATTAACACTGTAAATATATATATATATATATATATTTTTTACAGTTTTTGATATTCAGCTTCAGCTGAAGATTGCTTTACTTAATGACCTAAATTAACAAAATGAAATCAGTATCTTGTCCACAACAATGTGACCACTGATCCCGATCACAATTGTTAGGGTTAGTGAAGCCAGATACCGTAAAGATATCCCGTGTATGTTGAACTTACTTCATGGTACAGGCCCCAGGGACCTATTTTAGTTGCAGACTCATGTAAACAACGTGTGTGTGTGGTGTGTGTGTGTGTGTGTTGCAGAGGCTGGTGTGTGCTCTGTACCTTCGATCACGGAGTGTGTGACTGGATGTCGGACAGAGAAGGAGATCTACACTGGGAGACTGTTCACAACCCTGCAGGTAACAAACACATATTAATGTATATTACCTGCGTGTCCACTTTATTAGGAACACGTTTACATCTTTAACTCTGAGCTCACGAGCAGGGAGTGGTGAACATTTGGCATATTAACTGTTCATCAGTTATAAAATAGTTTAACAGACCAATCGTTTCAGCTCTAAGATCCACTAAATGGACAAAAGTACTGGGACACCTACACATCACTTTTAAAGAGCGTCTGTGAGGTCCGACACTGATGTTGGACGAGACGCCCTGGCTCGCAATCTCTGTCCTAGTTCATCCTGAATGTGATGGAGAGGGTTGAGGTCAGAGGTCAGAGCGGACCAGTCAAGTTCTTTCACACCAAACTGGGAAAAATTCTTTAAGTTAAACATGACTCATTTATCAGAAAAGTGCTTTGTCATGATGAGGATTTCTTCTTCTGTGTTTCATGTGATCGTGAACTGAATGTCTCAGACTCTACCAGGTAATCATTAGTAAACTACAGCATTAATATCTCAGGTGGGCGTTACCTGTCCGTCCCGGAGCTGAAGGTGGGACAAAGGAGCATCCGCGGCGCTCGATTGGCCGTCCAGATAGACCCGACCTGGAGCCACGGCGACCTGTGTTTCTCCTTCTCCCATTGGCTGACGGGGCATCATGTGGGCGTGCTGCAGCTGTTCACCAGGAAAAGGGGACGAGACCAAAGGTACCGGTGCTACATGTTCCTGTAAACAACAACAACACGTTACGTTTCTCGAGCGGGGAAATAGCTCCTCATGGAATCACCTGTGTGACGTCTTGTCCCTGATTGGCTGTTGCAGGTATAGCCCCGCCCTCTGGGCAGGACAGGTGGACACAGTTGGAGGCAAACACAGGTTACCTTGACGACGCATTCTCTGGAAAGGGTGAGACACAAACACCACACAAACAAACACAAAAGAGTTTTGTGTGAGTGTTTATGTTGTTGTTGACCACCGGTGTGTGTCTGCAGGTGCTGTTAAAGGCCGAGCGGAGAAAAGGACGGCGAGGGCATATCGCTGTGGATGATGTCACACTGAGACGTGGGGCGTGTCGATGACATCACAGCAGACAGTTTTCACTTAAGACTGAACTGAACGTTTACAGACGACTCACTGTGCCTCCTGTAAACGCCACATTCCTGTCAGCAGATCGATCAGCAGTTTTTACATGAACGTCCTCGTTTGTCGAACTAAGAAGAAGAAGAAAGACGAGTTGAGAAAACATTTGGTTATTATTTTTGTTTTTTTGTTTGTGTTCAAGCAGCAGGAGCTTTAATTAAAAAGCTGACAGAATATAAAATCTATCCAAAAACTGCAGTGCATCGTTTGGCCACTAATAAGTCAATATACAGTCTTTGATCCCAGCAGAGAAATAAACAGCCTGGTACAAAAACAGGGTTTGGTCTCTGAAGCTTCTGTCTACGTTCATGACAACTGTGCTGACCTTTTATATAACTCACCAGATTTTATTATATTAAGGCTTAAAGTTATGCTTAATAAAGGTCATGTCCACTTTGAGTGACAGGTGGCTGCTGTCACAGTAGCTTACTGTTCAGCAACCGATAAAGTAAACCCCCCGCGCCTGACACCAGAAGATCTGACATGGATATAACATCAATCAGCGTGCGAGACAGCCGACGTCAGCTACACAAGTCACTACACAGCAACACCCCACAGTTATAAAGGTAAAAAAAATAAAAATATTTCACACTGCTGCCCCTGGTGAGCTGCCGTCTGCAGGACGCTCAGGGGACCCGACCAGAGACGTTTTACAGAGGAGACACGCCACTTTAAGAATCCTCAAAAAACTCTGTGGGGAAAAGATGGCGGCCAAGTGACGGGACTTGCCTATAGGACTTTGACATGACTGATCTCTACTTCTGATTTATAAAATCTGAAAACGGGTCAACTTGTAGAAATGTCAGATTTCTCTAATTCACCGAAAACATTTAAATAACTTTGTGGGTGAGAAACAGGAAACACCAAAGATACAAAGATCTCATCTGGAGTCATTGTTGATGAGATCGTGAGCTCGAATGTTTATACTTATTCGTGTAAAATCAATTTCACTCCCAGATTTTTTTTTATTTGTGTGTAAAGTTCTTTGAAAGACCGGATTAATCTGAATTTGTAAATATATTTCTGCCCAATACTGACACTTATCATTTACATCTATTAATTTATCTGAGGCTTTTATCCAAAGCGACTTACAATTGCTGTACATGTCAGAGGTCGCACGCCTCTGGAGCAACTAGCAGTTAAGTGTCTTGCTCAGGGACACAATGGTGGATGGGTCACAGTGGGAATCAAACCCGGGTCTCTTTTCAACACTCTTACTGAACACTCTCCTGTAGGTGCAGTTGTCTGAAATGTCCACTAGGTGTCAGGATAGGCGCCATCACCTCCCAGTATCAATAAACCTGTTAATTAATTAAAGTCTCTTCTTCATTCGCTCCTCTGAACAGCAGTTTACATTTACACTTCAAAACAGAAGAAGAGTTAAAAGGTACTGACCGTGACAGAAGATCTCGGCCCCGCCCACACAATCTGATTGACAGGTGACATCACATCCTGTTGATGAAGAAAAGATACAGACATGTATTACCTTTTTGTTTACTACGGCTGCAACTTCAGATTCGTCAATTAACCTTTTTATTTTTCTGACATGTTGAGACCAAAACCTGAAAATATTTAGTTTACGAGTATATAAAACAAGTAGTGGAAAGCAATAAAGTACATTTAGGATATAATATCGAGACACGAGTACAGATATCTGATGTGAAGTCTGCGTTAAATATCTATTTCAGAGTCCAGCGTTTAAATGTTTCCTACAATATATTTTTCAGATTATTGATATTAAACATAAATAAACATCCAGGAAAACTACTGATCACACGACCGGTAAAATGAAGTCTTACAAACATAAATACAAACGTCTTGCTTCATTAAACGACTGAAATAATGAACTAATTACCAGATTTAACCTCCGACCTCTGAGGCATCACCTGCGGGAGGAGAGAGGAAGAGGAAGGACAGGAACCTGATTTGTGTGTTTAACATCTGCTTTAGAGGACGCACACACATCTCTTCAGTCTCTGATGGGCGGAGCTGCCAGAAACCTGATTGGTGCTTTTCCCGTGAGCTCGACAGATTCCTCAGTTTATAGACACAACATGAATGTGAGGAGAGAAACCTGTGATTTAGCTTCCTGGGATATCTGAGAGTGTGTGTGTGGTTACAGCCCTGCTTGTTAACCCTGTAATTACCACGGTAACCTCTCTCCACCATCTCCGCCTCCTGCTGCTGATCACTGGCAGCACACAGTTTAACACAATTCATCTCTAGAGCTGAAACTATTCAGCGATCAACAACAAAACACTTTAAATAATCGCTAACTCTTCTGGTAGTTCATTCTTTTTTTTCCTCCAAGCAGAAATACGACAAATCTGCTTTTAAAAGTACAAGAAGTGCCAAAAGTAAAAGTACAATGACAAGCTGGTGCTGCTCTGATAGTCCTACGGATAATGTTTATTTATGCATTCATGTGTTCATCACTTTAATGTTGCATCTTAATTGTAATTGCTTAACATTAACAGCAGCGTAGTTTAATCAATAATTTATACATAATATCAGTTTAGTTTAGAATTTTAATTATTAATCTGAATCTGCAAAGTTATTAATGTGGTCAGATGCATGCAGTGAAGTAAAAGTATTGAAATACTGCACCTGATGCACCTACTTCCCACCGCTGCTAACACGTTTTACAAAAAATAGTCAGGAAAAGTGAAAAAGTATAGGCCTCTTCAAAGTTTCCAAGTTAACATACTGGAAATCTAATCTTTGCTGACCTCCGGTGGTTTCATTCTCACCTGGCTGCAGTGATGGACAGGTGTGCTCTGGTACACGGTGACATCACGGCTGTGGTTACAGTGAAACAGACAGAGAAATGTTACATCAATCCTTAAACTAGTTGTTCTGTCCAAACACCAAAATATCATCAATCATGAAATTATGTTGTAGAAACTTTCTTCTTTTGCATTATTAACTTAACAAAACACAAAATGCAGTCCTTCCATGTGTTATATTATAAAATATATTCATTTACAAAATATATGTGTTTATAGTTCTGTCTGGGCAACTTTCATTTAATTAAAATTTTTTAAATCTACGTTTTGACTGTGTTTTTATTGCTGACCAATACTTCAATTGTGCTGGATTTGAGTTAATCTGTCTGCAGTTTCTATTATTCTTCATTTATCTATTTACATGTGTATAGTTTCCAACTATACATCAAACAAATAATTATTATTACTGGAAGTTTCGAGGCTTTATTATTTTGTTTTTATTATTATTTAAGACAAATTAATTGTGACGGCAGAGATTTAACCCATAAATACAAATACCAAGGTTATCAGGTTTATAGATAGTAAGTTTTATAATACTTTAACAAAACAAAGTGTTTTACAGATACAAATGAAACCACATAGGATACATGGATCCCTTGTGTATTTCATCATCATATCTACGAGCGCATGTTTTCACAAATAAGAATTTAATCAGATAAATGACTCACCTGCAGGTTCACCTGCTCCACATACCTTCGTTCCCTTTGAGTCGCCGCCGCCGGCATCACACGTGTTGTTCCATTTGTCTGAAACACTGAAATGAACTTGTTGAGATCGACTCTCTGAGGGCAGCGACTCTGCTCACCCACAATGCATTGTTGTTATACATTTGGTACAAGAAAATACATCCACGGTCAGGTGGCTGTCGTGTACGCAAAACTCTGGTTAATGCCACCAAAGGAGGAGAGGGTGAATAAATTGAGCACGGCACGTTTTTCCAATCAATCAATATTCGAGTTTAAACAAACTAACAAACTTTCATATATTCAACTAACCGAAGTAAAACTTTTTAAAGCTGTAGTGCAGGTATTTCTGATGATTTGTGAAAAGCTGTACCGCGCTAAGCAACAACTGATCGGTCGAGTTTGGGCTGAAAGTGGTTAGTAAAAAAAGAAAGTATAAGAGCTGCTGCGCTCCATTTAAATCCACGATGTGACGCCACAGGCTGACAGGAAGTGGAAGTACTGATGAAACACAGTGTAATTCTCTTATCCGACGGTGAAGCTGAGGAAACATCAAGACCTCCCTCTGCTGGAGCTGAAGAGGAACTCAACTTTCATGCCTTTAACTCCCAACAGCAAGTCTGTGGTTCTCTACTTGAGTATCGCTGCCACAGTTCTCTACTTGAGTATCGCTGCCACATTTCAGAGGGAAATATTCTAATTTTCACTTCACAACATTTATTTTATAGCTTTAGTTACAGATTAAGATTTCACATCAACATATGATCTGTTACTTTAGATTAAACTTGCCATTGTTTTCTTCTTCTGTAGCATTGTCTTCAAACAGAGTTGATAAACACCTCAGTTCACCGAAGGAAGCCATCTGACTGTGTGAGGAGCGAGCTTGTTGATGTCTGACCAATAGGGGAGAAGTTCACCCCTTGAGACACACCCCCTCCTCATTTGCATAATGAGGCAGAAATGCATAGAGAAATGTAAAAAGGACAGGCAGAAATAAATACCATGGGGGAAATAAATAGGGTAGAAAATGCAAAGAAAGACATTTTAAAATGCACACAAATGTAACAAAAATAAAGTTGAAGACAATAACAGGCAATAAATAAATACGGTAATTAATAAAAAGGTGAATAAAGACAGTTCATATGATTTGGTTTCACAAGTAAGGAAATAAACATAATTCTAAAAATTGTATTTTATTTGTTGTTAGCTGAACATGAAAAATGCTAATTAAAGAAGTTTCTAATAAAAATATATTAGTTATAAAGACGCTGCGAATACGTGATCATTAATTCGTCAAGTAATTAGTTAAGATTTTAGCATTTCGGGTCAATTCTCAAGGAGCAAACTGCAGCTATCATTATCTTCATTATCAATTATCATACATTAAATATATATTTTGATAAATTAAAGCAGTTAATTAGTTGAACGACAGAAAACTCATTTTATTATTTTCAACCTGTTTATTTGGGTTTCAGAACTTTATGTAGCGAAAAGTACATACGTTTATTTACATGGAGGGAGTACTTCAGACAGACATAAATAAATTAATAAATAGATTTTTATCATGAGCTTTCCATACTGAAATAATCTATAAATGTTTCCATATTAAATAAAACCTATTTACATTCCCTCTCAGTGATGAAAGTCACTGGCTGCAGCTTCACCTCTAAATGTTGGTTTTCTTCATCTCCAACAAAAATAAACAAATCTCTCTGAGTTTGGGCTGTTGGTCGGGGAAAAAAAAAAGATGTCGTCTTCATCGTCTCTGACAAACCACGATGGATTTTTTTTAGACCAAACAATTAACTCAGTAAATAAATAAATAATTTGTAGCCCTAAACCGTTCAAACTGTCACAGTGAAAATGTCCATCAGTGTCCGACTGTTCAAGTTGATGTAGATGACCGTTTTAGATTTACGTCAGCGTAAAACAGGAAATCCTCACCCAGGAGACGCAGGAAACAACTCATGTTTAGCATTTTCCTTCAATGTTTTGAACATAACATATTTACATTTTTTATTTTAAATTGTAAACTGCGTTGGCGAAACATGACCCTCCTTCGAGTCCAGCAGACGTCAGCACTGTGCCCAGACGTCAGACGCAGCGGTGTCTCTTCAGCTGACTGGAGAAGGTGAAGTGTTTCTTACACTGGTCGCACCAGTACGGCTTCTCCCCGGTGTGAGTCCGCACGTGTCTCGCCAGGTTCGACGACGTGAGGAAGCTTTTGCCGCAGTGCTGACACCGGTGCGGTTTCTCACCGGTGTGGACGCGCTTGTGCAGCAGGCGAGTGGTGACGTGGCTGAAAGTCTTCCCACACTGCTCACAGCTGAACGGTCTCTCCCCCGTGTGGACGCGCTCGTGCTCAGCGTGGTTGGTGGATGACGTGAAGGTTTTATCGCAGAACCGACACCGGTAGGGTCTCTCTCCGCTGTGGATCCGCTGGTGGACGGTGTACGAGGAGTGATGATTGAAACTGCGTCCGCACAGCTGACAGCCGTACAGTTTCTCTCCCGTGTGGAGGCGCCGATGTCTCGTCAGATTCGACTGTGTGAGGAAGGTTTTGGCGCAGAGCTGACACTGGAAAGGTTTGTCACCCGTGTGGACGTGTTCGTGTTGTCGGCATGAAAATGAATCAGTGAAGCTCTTCCCGCAGTGTTCACAGCTGTAGGGTTTCTCTCCAGAGTGACGGCGCCGGTGGAGTTTCAACGTGCTCGGCTGAGTGAAAGCTTTCTCACACTGGTCACACTGGTACGGTTTCTCTCCGGTGTGGACGCGCTGGTGCGTTCTTACGCTGCTTAACTGAGTGAAGGTTTTCCCGCACAGGTCACAGTGGTATGGTCTCTCTCCGGTGTGGACACTCTGATGATCCTTCAGCTGGTGCGTTGACGTGAACGCTTTGTCACACAGCGGGCAGCGGTGAGGTCTGCGTCTCTCTGAGGCGTCCACTTTCTGTGACAGACAGAGATATAAAGACAGGTGTGAGCGAGGTGGAGGACTTCTTCTTCTGGTTTAAACCTTGAAACCACACCCAGCAGTGATGCCACAGTTAGGGTGCACTGATGTAATCACCCGGAACGACGCAGATACTGACCTGATTCAGTGCATCGGGTATCGACCAGACTTGATAGATCCACATTAAATACAGTTTCTTTGTCATTGTAAATGGCTGCTGAGTGTCACCCAGTGAGGATTACAGATTTAAATGTGGGGAGAGGAAAACACTGGAATCTGATCGGTGTCACCAGAAACCCAGGCTGTGTTCGCACTTCTAGGGCAGCACTTACGGCAACGCGGGACATCAGCATGCCGTCTTGCGTCTCTTCTGGCTTCTGGCTAACAGACGCCTCAAAAATCATATTGAACAAACCTGGTTGTTTACAGTCACTGGCTGATATAATAACTCAGTGTTTAGTTCTCGCTAAGTTTTCAAAAATTAAAGCGAGAAAACTAATAAAAAAACAACTTATATTTGTATACGTATTCGGCTTTTTGTCCGCCATCTTGACCATTTTTTGTAAGCTGCCACAGCCGCACTGGTTTATGGGTAATAGGCAGCACCAAGCGTCAATGCTGCCTTCAAAACCGGCCGATACGGGGGCAGTTTGAAGGAATCTTACGCGACAGGAAGAGATCGTTTGGCCCGTTTCGAACACAGCCCCCGAGTGAGGAACTAGAATGCTAGAGCCCAAAATCTGTGTTTTATAATTTAAGAACATTTTGTCATCTGAAATTCTGTAACCATGTGGTGGAACAATAAAATTACAGAGATTCAGTAAGAAAATATTACAAATTTAAAATATGCATATAGAAATATTCAAATGTATGTGTAATTATTTATGGGTCAGGTCATCATGTCTCCTGCTGCACACAGGAAATAAGTGGGTCTGACGGAGACTCACGTGGGCAGCACTCCTCTTTGTTTACAAAACATGACCGGAAATAACTTTTCTAACAGAATAACTGACTCCGCCCACACAGCCACGGAGTCTACAACGAGCTGGAGTGTCGCATCTAACGGTGCGGTCGCACTTCTGAGAGTTTGTTGAAGCAGTGCTTGAAGTGCGGCGGTACGCGGGACATTTTCTTGCGTACCGGGACTTCTCCCAAGCTGCCGGTACTCTCCTCTCCATATCAGGTTCTCTGGGCGCTACGTGACGCTCACCTGCTCCCGTTCTTTCTGCCGGTGGAGAGAGACGAGGGACAGGAGAAGCTCGGGTGCGGATGGGGCGGGACATTTAAAAGTTGACAGATTTTCCCTGGGGGACGCAGGGGACACGTCAGAATCTGAATCTCTCCATCACTTTTTGAAAGCTTTTGTTAACAATGTTCTGAACAGCAGCAACTAGAAATGTGAAATAACAAATGAAACAATAAGAAAACGTGCAATGCAACTGAAATATGGAAAAAACAAATTTGCATTGTCCAAAAAGTGATTACTGAATTCCATTGTATTTTGAATTGTCACCTCTCACCTTAATTTAGTTTCCTTTCATTTAAATAAAGACATTTACTCCATAAACTGGTGCAGAAAATGTCTCCAGAATGCAGGAAATTAAGTGTTTAATGCTTAAAGTCATTAATGTTGTAATATTTACTGGTTTCACCTTATGGTTGAGGATATTGCGGGAGGGAAGTGATGAGCTCGTGATGGCGTGCTGACTCTTCGTCGGGGTCAGAAGGTGAGCCGGTGTGTTATTTACGGGACCAGCTGTTCAGCCTCCTGCTGGACCTCCCACCTGAGACAGTCACAAACTCCTTTGTTTTGTTAACATCCATGGAGGTTGTGGGAGACCTCTGCTCCACCTCCATCCTGTAGGCAGACTCGTCGTCGCCGTCAGCAATGAGACCCACCTGTTGTGTTGTCAGCAAAACTTAATCAAATTTTTGGATGTGAATCCAGCGGTGCAGGATATTTGCAGCTGTGGTGAAATTCCCAGAGAAATACAGCATTAAGTTACCGAACATTTCCTGCTGCTGAAGCTTCACATTAAAAGTATTTAACTGCCGAAACACGAGTTGATTTTCATTTTGTGTGATTCATGCAGGTTTGTGAACTACAGAAACTCTCATGAGTTTATTTTTTGTCTTAAACTCTGAAGTCCTGACTCTGCAGTAAAGGTTAAACACTGCCGAGCGAATGAGACTCTTGCTCCTCTTTTCAAACATTTCGTTTGAAGTTTATTGCCAATTATTGCATTATCACAAATACATGTTCAGTGTGGAGTGTGGTGTCTCTTTCTATTGTTTATTCGACAGCATCAGAGAAGATCAACTTTACATCTAGGTAAAGAGCTGTTAATCATCCTGAACCAGGATACAAACTACAAATCAAATTCATTAAAACCTTTTCTGAACACACTTCTGTAGGTGCAGATGTCTGACATGTCCACCAGGTGTCAGGCTAGGACCATGACGGGGAAACTACACAACCGGCAGCTCTGCACGTTTTCATGGCGTTAAAAGAAATTACAATTTGATTAAATATTCCTGTGTAACTATATTTTCTGAAACGATCATTATCAAGTTAAATAACCACTGGAAGAACTGAGAACTTTCTCCCTCTGTCTGCAGACCTGAAAACAATAAGGCATAATGAGGCATCATGTTACAATAACTGCTCCACATTCACTAACAGATATCTCTTTTCTCTGTCTCTTTTAGAAGCTTTCCACTCTGAGATACTTGGTGACAGAACTTGTTTCATTGTCCGTAACAGGAAACTAATGAAGAGCTTCATTGTGCTTCAAAGGCTTTATGCTAACAATGATCTAGTCTGTTCTTATTCCTGGTCAGGAGCGGCACTGGAATTTGAACTTTAGCACCATGTGGAAACTTTGAGTTTTGCTGTTACACCCCAGCTGATGTGTTTCCAGTGTGAAGGGCGTGATTTTGGTCTGAATGATGATTGGATATAATTATGAAGAATATGAAACATGACCGACAACTGATACAGCTGGAGTCTCTCTGGTTAATTTGAACGTACAGTACCACACGGTGCCTCAGCTGACTCCACGCTGCGTTCAGGTGACGTGTAAACATCCAGACTGTTTCACTTGCAGGCTGTTTGACAGTATGAACCGTTCTCAGATCAGCTCAGCCCAGCAGGGGTCTCCAGCCCTGAGGTGAACCTGTGCTCACTGTGGTCGCTGCTGATGTCGGTCTGCCCTCTCTGACAGGACGTTGAAGACACAGTTGCAGGTGCCAGCGTCCACACACAGCGACCTTCTCCAACCAGCTGCTGTGAATCTTGTTGTTGAACGCTGAAGTCGATGAAGAGGAGCCTGTAACAGGTGGTGAGATGCAGTGTGGCGCTGCATCCTCTGTGTGCAAACTGTACAGCAGTGACCCTCAACTGGTGCCCCATGCTCCACATCCGGCTGGCCACTGTTTTGCAATATTCATATATTTGCAGTACTACAAACTCTGCAGCGGTGGTGAAATATTTCCTGCTGCTGAACCTTTACATTAAAAGCCTTTTATTTTGTGTGATTGACGCAGGTTTTTATTGTTTCCTCCTTCAAACCGCAGCTGAAGACGTGTTCGTCTCCGAGTGACCGTTTCACTGACCTCCTGTGAAGAACTCATGTCGCCTCCTCCTCAGCAGACAGATGCTCCTTCAGTCAGACAACATGGCCGACAGCGTTCCCTCTCCTCCTCGCCTGGAGCTTCTCCTCCCGCCATTCAGCTCTGAGATCACACAGAGACACGATGACAACCTGAGGAGTTGCTTTTGTTGCTGTTTTGAGCAAATACACAACTCTGAAGACTTCAGCTGAACTGCTGTTGCTCAGGAAACGGCTGGAAGCTAAGCTAGCTGCTACATCAAAAAACACGAGCTTTTACAGCTTAATTCAAACGGTTCATCGACCCGGAGCGATAGCGGTTAAAACCCGGACAGCTTCATGAACTAGTGGACCCAGAGAGAGCAGATAAAACCATCAAATTACCTTTTTCCTCCTCTTTTCAGTCTCTCTCCCAGCAGCCGTCCGTCATGACACTTACGTCACCGAGTCACGTGACTGAAACAGATCTTCTTCGTCTTGAGTTAAAACGGCAGCTGGTTGGGAGGACCTAAAGCCAAAACACTGTAAATACATGATTGCAGAAATAAATTAAATTAATTAATTAAATAAATACATATAGAAATAAAAGTACAAATACATGCATAAATAAATAAATGCTTTAATAAATGCATGCATAAATAAATTAAAGCATGATTAAATAATTACATGCATAAATAAAGTAAAGTACAAATACATGCATAAATAAATAAATGCTTTAATAAATGCATGCATAAATAAATTAAAGCATGATTAAATAATTACATGCATAAATAAAGTAAAGTACAAATACATCCATAAATAAATAAAATATAAAAGATTAAATAAATAATGCGTTAATAAATAAAAGTACAAATACATGCATAAATAAATAAATGCTTAAATAAATGCGTGCATAGATAAATTAAAGAATCATTAAATAATTACATGCATAAATAAAGTAAAGTACAAATATATCCATAAATAAATAAAATATAAAAGATTAAATAAATAAATGCGTTAATAAATAAAAGTACAAATACATGCATAAATAAATAAATGCTTTAATAAATGCATGCATAAATAAATAAATGCTTTAATAAATGCATGCATAAATAAATTAAAGAATGATTAAATAATTACATGCATAAATAAAGTAAAGTACAATATATCCATAAATAAATAAAATAAAAGATTAAATAAATAAATGCGTTAATAAATAAAAGTACAAATACATGCATAAATAAATAAATGCATGCATAAATAAATTAAAGAATGATTAAATAATTACATGCATAAATAAAGTAAAGTACAAATACATCCATAATAAATAAAATATAAAAGATTAAATAAATAAATGCGTTAATAAATAAAAGTACAAATACATGCATAAATAAATGCTTAAATATACATGCATACAGAAATAAATAAATGATTAAATAAATATATGCTGAAATAAAATAACATAAAAAATGCTTAAATAAATGCATGCATGCATAAATAAATAAATGATTAAATAAGTACATGCTGAAATAAAATAACATAAAAAATGCTTAAATAAATAATTTCATGCATAAATAAAATGCTTAAATAAATGCATGCATAAATAAATAAATAAATGATTAAATAAATACATCCAGAACTAAAATAAAAACCTAAAGAAATGAAATAAATACATGCTGAAATAAAATAAAAATAAATAAATACATGCATAAAGATATATAAAATAACAAATAAGTGCTGAACAAATACATAAATACATGATGAAATAAATCAAAGAATAAAAATACTGAAATAACTATGGAAATTGAACATTGAATAAACAAGAAGGATCAGCCAGTGAAGAACCAGACTCATCAGGCATCCAAGGCTACATCTTCACTCACTTCTCCATCTTGCAAAGGATTGTAATAATTTAAAAAGACACCGTCACCTGCATTGGACCCACTGCTCTCACACAGCAACTTGGTATAATATGGACAATCCACTGTCCACACAAAGACTTGCAGCATCCATCTCTTTGATTCTTCTTCTTTGATTTTCCAAATAACTGTTTGATGTGGTCAGATTTGACCAGGACTTTATTTTAAAACATTATTTCTCTTTTTAATATGGGTTAATGCAAAAACAATCACTGTGGAATGATACTTTGCCAATGTGAATATCAGTAACCCTTTCATTCTAAACACGTGGCGCCAACAGTATTTAATGCACTTAAAATAGTAATGTGGGTCTTGATGATACCTTGCTCTCACCTTTTGTAGAGAAAGGTCAATATGTGGCACCTGTCTGTAATTTTTCCCATTTTCTGTTAACTAAGGCATCTTGTCTTTCTATTATTGATGTGTATGACAGATAAAACAAATAAAACATTCTATATCTAAACTAAACTCTAAATAGTTTTAATGCTTTACGGTTTTAATGGCACGACATGCACAAGTACATAGTACTGGTTTGAATGTTGCAGTTGCCTTTTTGTTCCAGTTTTTTTGTGTGTTATTTTATTTGAAAAGCCCCATTTAAAATATATGTTGGATGCAATGGTTTTGTATTTAAGAGCAAGGTAATATTGTCAAACAAATATTTGCAAAATTGACTGACAAAGAACAAAGAGGAGGAATTAGTTGTTCTTGTTTTTGTCATGCTATTCTATGTGATGCATCTGAGGTCAAATAAACTATTTGGAAATACAGTAAACTTGGATTGGATAATTTCAGTACATTTCATTTTTCATAAGTTCATATTGGTAAATGGCAGTTGGATTGTTTTACGCAACAGCAGCATTCAGTTGTTTTTTTCCAATAGCGGCAAAATGACTATTCTAAATCAGTGGAAATATACACTCACCTAAAGGATTATTAGGAACACCATACTAATACTGTGTTTGACCCACTTTTGCCTTCAGAACTGCCTTAATTCTACGTGGCATTGATTCAACAAGGTGCTGAAAGCATTCTTTAGAAATGTTGGCCCATATTGATGGATAGCATCTTGCAGTTGATGGAGATCTGTGGGATGCACATCCAGGGCACGAAGCTCCCGTTCCACCACATCCCAAAGATGCTCTATTGGGTTGAGATCTGGTGACTGTGGGGGCCATTTTAGTACAGTGAACTCATTGTCGTGGTCAAGAAACCAATTTGAAATGATTCGAGCTTTGTGACATGGTGCATTATCCTGCTGGAAGTAGCCATCAGAGGATGGGTACATGGTGGCCATAAAGGGATGGACATGGTCAGAAACAACGCTCAGGTAGGCCGTGGCATTTAAACGATGCCCAATTGGCACTAAGGGGCCTAAAGTGTGCCAAGAAAACATCCCCCACACCATTACACCACCACCACCAGCCTGCACAGTGGTAACAAGGCATGATGGATCCATGTTCTCATTCTGTTTACGCCAAATTCTGACTCTACCATCTGAATGTCTCAACAGAAATCGAGACTCATCAGACCAGGCAACATTTTTCCAGTCTTCAACTGTCCAATTTTGGTGAGCTCTTGCAAATTGTAGCCTCTTTTTCCTATTTGTAGTGGAGATGAGTGGTACCGGTGGGGTCTTCTGCTGTTGTAGCCCATCCGCCTCAAGGTTGTGCGTGTTGTGGCTTCACAGATGCTTTGCTGCATACCTCGGCTATAACGAGTGGTTATTTCAGTCAAAGTTGCTCTTCTATCAGCTTGAATCAGTCGGCCCATTCTCCTCTGACCTCTAGCATCAACAAGGCATTTTCGCCCACAGGACTGCTGCATACTGGATGTTTTTCCCTTTTCACACCATTCTTTGTAAACCCTAGAAATGGTTGTGCGTGAAAATCCCAGTAACTGAGAAGATTGTGAAATACTCAGACCGGCCCGTCTGGCACCAGCAACCATGCCACGCTCAAAATTGCTTAAATCACCTTTCTTTCCCATTCTGACATTCATTGTATTGTATGAGCAAAAATTGTCCGGTCTGATTTAATTGTTAAATCAAAATGATGTGTGACATATTTTAACTAGCTTCATTTCTAGTCATTATTACAAGTTCTGCACTTACAAAATTATTATTGTTTAGACAGGTGAAAACCATCTTAAGTGTGCATGCGCCAACGTGCATGCAGCCTGTTGCAGTAACTGTAACTTTTAACTTTCTTCTTCATATCTTACGTGTGTGATTTTTGGTCGATATGTAATTTAAACTAGACTCTCTCTAATCATGGAAGTTGGGAGAGTTTTGATAAGCCATGGCACTGTTGCGCAGCAACTTCATGGCCGCTTTGTTTACACCCGGGACCAGCCGAAGCTGACCGGCATGGTGCACAGGCCCACAGATATCCCCACCGAGATCTGGAGGAGGACACAAAACGGCGAGGGAAGAGAGAGGGATCCAGAAAAGCACTTCAGGGATGTTTCGAGGTGACAGACTGGGATGCTCTCTGTGAGCCAATGGAGAGGACATAGATGGGCTTACTGAGTGTATCTCAGACTACATTAACTTTGTTACTGTCTATTGTTACTCAAACAACAAACCGTGGGTGACAAAGGACATCAAGGACATCCTGAGTGCTAAGAGGAGGGGTTTCTGAGACGGTAATAGGGAGGAGGTGAAGGCCATTCAGGGGGACCTGAAGGTGAAGATCAGGGAGGCTAAGGAGGAAGCTGAAGCGTGAACTCCAGCAGAACAACATGAGGGAGGTCTGGAGCGGCATGAGGAACATCACTGGCTTCAGACCGACTGGCAGCAGAGGAGCTGAAGGCAGCTTGGACAGAGCCAACAAACTGAATCTGTTCTTTAACAGAATTGATGCTATGGCTCCTGCCCATCCCCCCACTAACTAAGCTGCTGTCTCACCTCCAACACCTCCAACTCCACTACTCCCCCCTCCTCAGGTTAACATCTCTCTCCAGTCTGACGACTCCTCCTCTCCCCCACCTGTGACCTCTGTGTGCCTCACTGCGGAGCAGGTGAGAAGACAGCTGAGGAGAATCCACTCCAATAAGGCTGCAGGTCCTGATGGTGTCCGTCCCAGGGTGCTCAAAGCCTGTGCCCCCCAGCTATGTGGAGTCTTTCACCATGTCTTCAACCTGAGCCTGAGTCTCCGAAGGGTCCCTGTGCTGTGGAAGACATCTTGCCTTGTTCTTGTGCCAAAGGCACCACGTCCTAGTGGCTCCAAGGACTACAGACCTGTGGCACTGACCTACCACATCATGAAGACCCTGGAGAGACTGGTTCTGGAACAGCTGCAGCCCATGGTCAGACCTCTCCTGGACCCCCTCCAGTTCGCCTACCAGCCCCGACTGGGAGTTGAGGAAACCATCATCTTCCTGCTCAACCACACTTACGCACACCTGGACAAGCCGGCGAGCACTGTGAGGGTCATGTTTTTTGACTTCTCCAGTGCTTTCAACACCATCCGGCCGGCCCTGCTGGGTGAGAAGCTGACAGCGATGCAGGTGGATGTCCTCCTCTTGTCCTGGATTGTTGACTACCTGACAGGCAGACCACAGTATGTGCGCCTTCAACACTGTGTATCAGACAGCGTGGTTGAAAGGAAGAGGAAGGAGGAGGGTTTTACTTGGTGTGAGCGGTGAACCTTAATGTGTCGATCTCAG